TCGATCTTGTATTAGAGGTTCCTTTCCACCTCAGCATATGAAGATTGTTAGTCTTTCGGCATATTTGCCAACTAGAGCACTGAAGCAGGTCCAAGGATGTGTTTCTCCTCTCATGTTCTGGTCAGTGGTAGGGACTTTGCCTCCTTTATCTCCTCCACAGTGGCAGATACACATGTTGCAAATGGCTGTGTAGTGAAGAGAACTAGAGCTCATGTCGGGCAGAAAGAGTTCAGAAACTCCAGAAGAGGAGTAAGTTCTGGACAGAAGTGTTTGAGGACGGCTGATCCAAAGTGTTATGTGTTCTTTAACTGAGCCACAGGGAGGAGGCTCTTCGTAGCCTATCTTGTCTGGTGATTTTTATTTTAAGTGAAACTTTGGATCTCTCTTTAACTTTCTTTTTTGAGTCTAACTTCTACAGTAGACCAATAAACTTACAGTACTTACTTTTCCCTAGGAGTCTACTCAATAAGGAAACCAAAACAGGATAATAAAAAAAAATTTTAATTAAAAATCCAAACTCTGAATGTACTCTGATAGGTCTTTCCAGTTGTTTTCCACTGTGTATCTGAGGTATGACTTTGCTGGTGAGGTACAAAATTAGACAAATGGACTGTGTGCTAAATAAAAACATATATACATATATTTATTATGCTGCATAATAAAATTACAGACAGTGGGAAAAAATAAGAGCTCAGACAACACAGAGAAAATTCTAAGATTATTATTGCCAAGCACATGCATTAAACATGCACATGAAATCTTACCCTCCCCCTGAGACAATTGCGTGGCCCTTCTCTCCACCAAAGTAGTTTTTTTTTTTTAACTTGTGGTACTTTTCTCGTATCTTTTGTTTTTCCCCCAGACTGTTCTGTTTTCCAGTTTCAGACAAAAACTCTCTTCAGCTTTTTCTATTGCCTTTCTGTGTGTCTCCTTAACAATAACTTTATCACTTTAAATCTTACTTCACATGGAAAAATAATACTTAGTGTGAAAAAGGCTGCACACAATAAAGTTGCATTATTATCCATGACCGTGAGCTCACATTTCTTTCATACTTTAATGTTAAAACTGAAATGCATAAGAAAACAAAAGCTCTATGATGTTCTTTTTATTTAAAGTCCACATCTGGGGCGCCTGGGTGGCTCAGTCATTAAGTGTCTGCCTTCGGCTCAGGTCATGATCCCGGGGTCCTGGGATCAAGCCCTGCGTCGGGCTCCCTGCTCCTCGGGAAGCCTGCTTCTCCCTCTCCCAGTCCCCCTGCTTGTGTTCCCTCTCTCGCTGTGTCTCTCTCTGTCAAATAAATAAATAAAATCTTTAAAAGAAAAAAAAAAAAAAACTTCAGTTGCAACCCCTAAAAGCATTCAGTCACTTAATTAGAACAATAATCCAGTAAGACTTTGGTCTTTAAATACACCAAAAGCTCACGTGACTTTTGAGCTCTAGTTTATATAATTTTGCTCCAGTTCCTGCTGTGTTGTCTGAATTGAGAAGTTAATCTCTACAGCATCAAGTGATCTGCTGTAAAAATCTGTAATAGTGTATATTTTAAGCATCCTATTGTCTGTTTAAAAAAGTAATAATGAAAAATCTCATCGTTTTAGACAACTTTCTGCCTCTCAAGAAATTATAACCAAAGAGAAATCTGAGTTTATATTGTTTTCTAGGCTTTTATTGTCAAAACATTTCTTGCAGCAATAATGCTCTAAAACTTTTTGAAGTATCACCTGCAAAGTGATTTGTTAATCAGATTACTTTTAATTCACAATGCTCTGCTTTATCTGGGAAGTATATTAACATCAGTAGTTACTATAGCCTATAAGCTACTATATATCCAACATCTTCAAATTGTTCTTATTGAAAACTATATAAAGGACTTTTTAGGGTTCTTTGGAACCTACAGTTTAAAACAAGGGAGTGGTGTTTGCTGGCTGGTCAACAGTGAGTAATCATTCAGCAGTCATGCTGTTTTGAGTGTCAGACCCCCAGCAGGCTACTAGATCCTAAGACTTGTTCAGGGTTTCTTTGTAGACTTATACAGTGGCTGACTGTGGAGTCCTTTCTTTTCAGAATTTAGTTGTTTGCTGGAAATTGAGCTTTTGAGTTTCATAGGTTCTTTGTCCTCCTCATTTGAAAAATATTTAAATGATACTGCTCAAAGGGCACACAGAGAAAACAGCGTGACTGGCTTTCGGGAAATTAGTAAGCAGTAGGGTTATTTTTAGGTTTTACTCCTTGCAAACATTTCCTTTTGTTCTTTAGAAGACATTGTTGATCTGTTCATTCATTTGCTGTGCTCTCTCCCCCACCACCCAATGGCTTTGGACAGAATAAGCCCTCTCTTCTCTACTCTTGAGTGACATAACTGCGTTAATTTTTATTTTATTCAATTTTAGCTCATGAATTATTCATTTGTTCATGTTTTTCTAGGTTCTGAAATACCACCACCACCACCTCCAAACACACACACACACATTTTGTTATTTGGGGTTGATTTGCACCCTCATTTGCAAATGCTGATCGAAAAACATTCACACAAGCAGAATATACAAAATGTGTATTTTTGTCAAGATAATTGTATAGTGGTCGCTGATGGTGTGATTTATTTGCCTTTATTTGCTCTGTTAGTACTTATTTAAAAACTGTAATCTTTAGAAAATCATGCAGTTAGTATAACAGAATCCCAGGTACAGGATAGGTGGTTACAAAGGCTGACCTTTACACCCAGCCTCAGGTCTGATCCTTGAAACATCTTCCAGTACAGAGAGGAAGTAGGATTTCTAAGGAAGCACAACTGAAACCTGTTTTGCTCTTCTTATGAAAGCAAGTTTGATATAAGACTTTCCTACTTTAAACAACGTCCAGGAGGATTTAGCCACTTTGTAACATGCTAATTTAACCTTTTATGTTTTTCATTTTTCTTATAAGATAGAGTGGCATTATAGCAGTTGTGGTTAAAACCGTGGGTTTCAAATCCTCGTTCTCCTGTTAATCTTAGTATGTTTCAATTTCCTTATCTCAAAACAGAGATTACAGTATGTAGTTCATACAATCATTTTGGAATTTGAATCAGATAATCCATGTAAAGGGCCTAGCATAATGCCTTACCTGGTAAAGTCTCAATAGATGTCGATTATGATTATTGTATCAGATTGTTTTATCTAAGTGTAGGATGTTTGTTATTTTAGAAGATTATATACCAGAAAGAGGCAAAGTATTCAGTTTTCTGGAACCCTTGCCTCTTTCCTATAAGAACTTTTTATTGGGATGTCCTCAAATACAGGTGGCCTAATTCCAATGCCTAGTGAATTTCATTCCCTTTGGCCCTTCAGTATTTGCAGCTCTTCATATCTAGAATCACCGCAATTATAATAGGAAGTCAAGCAAAACATTTTTTTGCATAAAGAGAGGAAGGCAGAATGTGAAATGGCGTTGACATCTGTGCTTCTGCCCTGGGCCAAAAGCAGAATCGTTCTTTGCTGCTGATTCGGCATCCCATCTGCTGCCTCCTCCGGTGCTTCAGCCCGTCTTCCTTTCCCTTCCCTGCAGAGCCCCAGGGATGATGAAGTCAGGGAGGGATTGGGGTGTCACACATCTGTGAGGGAAACAGGACAGAGGTTCAGGGAAAGATAACACAATGATAACCCCATTCTGCAGATGACCCGGTTGGTTTAATGCTAAATCTCCTCTGCCCATGTCAATTTTACAGAAGTTCTGTGGATGGTGTGCAGGTTAGAAAACATCAGCCTGCTCTAGTGAATTCCCCTCTTTCAGATCAAGAGCTTTTCTGACATCTGAGTCAACAATTTACTAAAATTCACTTTAAAAAAAAAAAAACACTTTTTTTTTAACTCTTAGCCCACACCTTCAGAATAAGCCCTTTATTTTTACAAGGGATGCTTTAACTTCTGAGCATATCCTTTGTTTGTCCAGGAAACGCGTTTCATTCACCCCACATGCCGGCTGATCCACAGCTCTAACTCCCACTGAAGTGGCTTCTTGTGTTAAGATAACCTCTTCTACCCTGCAAGGTACAACCAGGCTTTCCACAGCACAGTTATCTCAGAATCACTTATTTAAAGTTTAGAACACAAAACATAACACACATGCGAAGGATATCTGCCTGCAGTGTTGTCATTTAACTCGTTGATTTTGATTGAAACTTGAGTAGTTAAATAATAGAGTGATGAGTGCCCCAGAAAGGCATGTATTGAATAAACAAAAGGAAGCAAACAGAAAAGAGAAGTAGGGAGAAATTGTCTTAAATCTATTCATTTGTAATGGAAAAAATTTTTTTAATATTTTTACTTCCAAAGCTTAAGGCTCGTTTTAACTCAGACCGATTTTTGTTTTCAGTTATGTTTCCTGATGATTGTTCCAAGTTTGTCTATGATTCAAAAGAATGAAATATTGGGCGCCTGAGTGGCTCAGTC